CCAGTGCCTCAGTAAAACTCTGGGAAGCACAACTTCAGGAGACAGTGTTCCAGGCTGACAGGCATCCTTTTGAGTACAAGGCCTGAGTAAGCAGGAGGCAAACATTCGAGTGTAAGGATTAGGTGAGCAGCCATCCCCCAGTGGCCAGACTACCCACTCCAACCCCAAGAGCTCCAGTGTTGCTGACCCCAGCCAACTACCAGGTAAGCTGCCAGAACCCTACAGCCTCCAACTGCCAGCACCTGAGGCCCCAGTACACAAAGCCAGTGACCAAGTCCAAGACTCCTAGTACAAGAAGCTCGGGTCAGTGCTCCCTGCACTCCAGCAGGAAAGCTCAGCTTTTTTTAAAAGTCAGGAGACACACACCACGAGCAAAAAGCAGAAATTGACAATAACCATAGATTTTTATTATGGGGACAGGGAAGATTAAGGCACAAATTCAGAAGAAGACAACAGTGTCATATCCAAAACTTCAGAAGGGAATATGAACTAGTCTTAAGCCCAAAAAGCTTCTTGGAAAACCTCAAGAAGGATTTTAAAAGTCAAATAAGAGAAGGAGAAGAAAAACTGGGAAAAGAAATGACAAGAGAGAGTCACTAGCTCAGAAAAGGAAGGACAACAATTGACTGTAGAAAACAAGTCCTTAAAAAATACAATTGGCCAAATAGACAAAAAGTACACTGAAGAAAACAACCCCTTAAAAAGTAGAATTGGCCAAATGGGAAAGGAGGCGCAAAAACTCACTGAAGAGAACTCCTTAAAAAGGAAAATTTATAGGCCAAATGGAAAAGGAGGTAAAAATCTAATAGAAGAAAACAATTTGTTAAAAATTAGAATTGGTAAGTGGAAGCTAATGACACTATGAGAAATCAAGAATCAGTCAAACAGAAACAAAAGAATTAAAAAATTGGAAGAAAACTTAAAATTTCTCATTGGTAAAACAAGTGACCTGGAAAATGGATCCAGGAGAGACAATTTAAAAATTATTGGTTTACCTGAAAACCATGATGAAAAAAAAAAAGAACCTGGACAGCATTTTTCAGGAAATCATTAAGGAAAATTGTCCTGATGTCCTAGAACCAGAGAGTAAAATATTCATCAAAAGAATCCACCAATTACCTCCTGAAAGAGATCCCAAATTGAAAATGCCCAGGAATATTGTAGCCAAATTCCAAAATTACCAGGTAAAAGAGAAAATATTAATGCATCATTTTCAGATCATGATACAATAAAAATTACATGCCATAAAGGGCCATGGAAAAATAGACTAAAAATTAATTGGAAACTAAATAATCCTAAAGAATGAGTAGGTCAAACAGCAAATCATAGAAACAATCAATAACTTCATCAAAGGGAATGACAGTAATGAGACAACATACCTAAACTTATGGGATGCAGCCAACACAGTTCTTAGGGGAAATTTTATATCTCTAAATGATTACATGAATAAAATAGAGAAAGAGGAGATCAATGAATTGAGCGTGTAACTAAAAAAAGCTAGAAAAAGAACAAATTAAAAATCCCCCATTAAATACCAAATTAGAAATTCTGGAAACCAAAGAGGAGATTAATACAATTGAAATTAAGAAAACTGCTGAACTAATAAATGAAACTAAGAGCTGGTTTTATGGGGGGAAAAACAATAACATAGATAAACCTTTGGTTAATTTGATTTAAAAAAAATTACCAATATCAAAAATGAAAAGGGTGAATTTACCACCATTGAAGAGGAAATTAAGACAATAATTAAGAGCTATTTTGCCCAACTGTATGCCAATAAATTTGACAATGTTAGTGAAATGGGTGAATATTTGCAAAAATATAAATTGGTCAGACTAACAGAAGAGGGAATAAAATACTTAAATAACCTCATTTCAGAAAATGAAATTGAACAAGTCATCAATGAACTCCCTAAGAAAAAAATCTCCAGGGCCAGATGGATTTACAAGTGACTTCTATTAAACATTTAAAGAATAACTAATTCCAATACTATATCAGCTATTTGGGAATATAGGTGAAGGAGTTCTACCAATTTCTTTTTATGATACAAATATGGTGCTGATACCTAAACTAAGAAGAGCCAAAACAGAGAAAGAAATGTATAGACCAATTTCCCTAATGAATGTAGATGCAAAAATTTAAATACAATATGAGCAAAGGGATCACAGGAACTTATCTCAAGGAAAATACACTATAACCAGGTAGTACTTACACCAGGAATGCAGGGCTCATTGAATATTAGGAAAACTATCAGCATAATTGGCCATACCAACAAGAAAACCAATAGAAATCGTGTGATTGAGAAAAAGCATTTGACGAAATACAACACCCATTCCTATTAAAAACACTAGAGAGCATAGGAGTAAATGGAGTCTTCCTTAAAATGATAAGTAGCATCTATCTAAAACCATCAACAAGCATTATATGTAATGGGGATAAGCTAGAAGCATTTCCTGTAAGATCTGGGGTGAAACAAGGGTGTCCATTATCACCAGTGTTATTCAATATTGTTTTAGAAATGTTCACTTTAGCAATAAGAGAAGAAAAAGAAATTGAAAGAATAAGAATAGGCAAAGAAGAAACAAAGCTATCACTCTTTGCAGATGATATGATGATATACTTAGAGAATCAAGTAAAGAATTACTTGAAATAAGTTTAGCAAAGTTGCAGGATTTGAAATAAACCCACACAAATCGTCTGCATTTCTGTATATTACTAACAAAGCCCAACAGCAAGAGATAGAAAGAGAAATTCCATTTAAAGTTACTGTAGACATTATAAAATATTTGGGAGTCTACCTGCCAAAACAAATTCAGGAATTATATGAACACAATTACAAAACACTTTTCACACAAAGTCAGATCTAAATAATTGGAAAAACATCTGTTGCTCATAGGTAGGCTAAGCTAATATAATAAAAATGACAATTCTACCCAAATTAATTTACTTATTCAGTGCCATACCAATCAGACTACCAAAAATTATTTTATAAAGCTAGAAAAAATAACATAATTCATCTGGAAGAACAAAAGGTCCAGAATATTAAGGGAACTGATAGAAAGAAATGCAAGGGAAAGTGGCCTAGCTGTACCAGATCTTAAAGCAGCAATCATCAAAACTCTTGGTATTGGCTAGGAAATAGAGTGGTGGATCAGTGTAATAGGTTAGGTATGCAAGACACAACAGTCAATGACTATAGTAATCTAATATTTGATAAATCCAAAGACTCCAGCTTCTGGGATAAGAACTATTTAACAAAAACTGCTAGGAAACCTGAAAAAAATTATCACAGAAACTAGGCATAGACCAACATCTTACACCCTATACCAAGATAAAGTCAAAATGGTATATGATTTAGATATAAAGACTGGTACTATAAACGAACTAGGAGAGCAAGGAATAGTTTACCTGTCAGATCTATGGAGAATGGAAGAATTTGTGACCAAACAAGAGACAGAGAACATTATGAAATGCAAAATGGATAACTTTTATTACATTCAATTGAAAAATTTTTGCACAAGTGAAGTCAGTGCAACCAAGATTAGAAGGGAAGCAGAAAGCTGGGAAAAAATTTTACAGCCAGTGTTTCTAATAAAGGCCTCATTTCTAAAATATATAGAGAACTGAGTCAAATTTATAAGAATACAAGTCATTCCCCAGTTGATAAATGATCAAAGGATATGAACAGGTAGTTTTCAGATGAAGAAATTAAAGCTATCTTTAGTCTATCTACATGAAAGCTATCTATATGAAAAAATACTCTAAATCATTATTGATTAGAGAAATGCAAATCAAAATAACTCTGAGGTACCACATCACACCTATCAAATTGGCTAACATGACAAAACAGGAAAATGATAAATGTTGGAGAAGATGTGGGAAAATTAGAATACCAATGCTTTGTTGGTGGAGTTGTGAACTGATCCAACCATTCTGGAGAGCAACTTGGAACTATGCCTAAAGGGCTATAAAAATGTACATACTCTTTGACACAGTGATACCACTTCTAGGACCTGTATCCCAAAAACATAAAAATGGGAAAGGGACCCACGTGTACAAAAATGCTTATAGCAGCACTTTTTGTGGTGGCAGAGAATTGGAAATTGAGAGGATGCCCATCAGTTGGGGAATGGCTGAACAAGTTGTGGTATATGAATGTAATGGAATGCTATTGTACTGTAAGAAATGATGAGCAGGCAGACTTCAGACAAACGTGGAAAGACTTATATGGACTGATGCAGAGTGAAATGAGCAGAACCAGAGAACATTGTACACAGTGACAGCCACATTGTGTGATGACTGACTTTGATAGACGTGGCTCTTTTCAGCAACTCAAGGATCTAAGACAGCTCCAAAAGTCTCATGATGGAAAATGCTATCCACATCCAGAGGAAGAACTATGGAGTCTGAATGCAGATGGAAGCATGCTATTTGCTCCTACTTTTCTTTTGTTGTTTTGTTTTATTCCTTCTTGTGGTTCTTCCATTAGTTCTTCTTTACATCATGAGTAGTGTAAAAATATGCTTAATATTAGTATGTAAGTATAGCCTATATCAGATTGCATGCCATCTTCAGGATGGGGGAGGAGAGAGAAGGGGAGAAAATTAAAAACTCAAAATCTTATGGAAATGAATGTTAGAAACTAAAAATAAATAATTTTTTTAAAAAACAAAAGGCCATATATGTCATAGGTAGAATGACTGTGGGCAACAGTGATGGAAATTTTATACTTATTGTCAGATCCCTAAGAATGAAATTTAAATCTACAGTTTTTAATAAATTAAGATCTACAAAGCTACTTAAAATTATTAATGGACATCTCCATCTAGCAGAGAGTAGAGGTTAAATTTTAAAGTCTATTTGTCTAGGTCCCACAGAAATGAGAAAGCAAACACTAATATTTGAAAAAGCTAAAGGTTCTCATTCTTTGTCCTTGGATTCACTGCTATTCTTAGAGAGCAAGTCATTTAAATAGTGTAATTCTTTTATTTTTTCTACAGTGCCTCCAAAACCATTACATCTGCAGAATTCACCTTCATCCAATAGAGTTCAGACACCCAAGCATAAAGCTTTACCTAGTATAAAACCAAGGATGGAGGAAGTTAAACCTGCCCCTGCTTCTTTTATCTCAAAAGAAAAACCCAGTAAAGTATCAGATCTCATCAGTCACTTTGAAGGAGGCAGGTAAGTAATTTATATTTGAAAGAAGAGGGCAGGGAAGAAGAAATTTGATACCTAGAAACATGTTGTAGACATATATTTGCAAATCTAATAAAATTATCATGCCATTAGGTGATACAGACCTGAAGACATAGTTAATTACGTTTTTCAATAATTCACCTTATCCTAATACTTGTATTATTGGCATTATAGCATATTGCCCATCTGTAGTATATCATAGTAGTATTTTTTTTGTCTAATATCCTTTACAGTTGATGTTTCTGGTTTCTTTGAAATCACGTATGACTGAGTTTATAGTATGAACACAAGTGTGTTACTAAGATATCCCTCACAGGTCTGTTTTTGGTATTTAGTAGGGTTTCTGTGGGCCTCATAGGTAGTCTGTGTTGGTGTCAGTCATATAACAGCTACACCAAATCCCCACCCTGTCAGATTCCTATTTGACTCTTTGCCTTATTCATTCTTTCCAGATTCTAAGACAGTCAAGGTGTATGTTCTGATAAAGGCTGATAAATTATTTAAATTATAATAGCTCTTATTATTACTAAAATGATAACATCTCTTATATAGCTTTATCAAATATTAAATAAGCTTGAATAGCCCCTATAAGCTTTTATTTATGTTGCATTTTCTAAATCAACCTCATCTACTTGGCTTAAACAAAGTGGCTATCCACTTTATTAACAGTGTAACAGGGGCAGCGAGGTGATGCAGTGGATAAAGCTCCTGCCTTGGAGTCAGGAGGACCTGAGTTCAAATTCGGCCTCAGACACTTGACAGTTACTAGCTGTGTGACCTTGGGCAAGTCAGTTAACCCCAACTGCCTCACTAAAAAAACCCCCCAAAAAAAAACCCCAGACGAGTGTAACAGACAACAAAACAAAGATAGAAATAGCTATTTACAATCATAGACAGAGTATCCTCTAACTCTGGAAACACAATCCCACCATTCAGTTCTTTCATTATGGTAGCCAAAATTTCTCAGGAATTCTCTTCATGCTGTTTATTCATGATATATGAGTCCAACTTACTTCTCTCAGGAAATGCCTCTTCAGACAATTTCTCATGAACAGTTATTCAATCTTTCTGGAAAGTTCTCTTTGTCCTTTATCTTTCTGCTTCACCTAGTCTCCCTACATTCATATCAATGAACAAATTCCAGAATAGTTAAACTGTAACTCCCAAAGAGTCCTTTCCTTCATAAAGATATAGTAACATTACCAGTGAAAAAGGCTGTTAAAGCTGAACTTAGACTTCAGTTTTTTTGTATTTTAAAAAAAAAGATTCCTTCAAAATTTCCAGCAAAGTGATTTCTACTGTTTTTTTAAATGAAGATTTATTTTTGTTCAGTTAACTGAAATCTGCCTTTTCTCACGTCCACCCATTTGAGAAAGAAAGAAGGGGTGAAAGCACCTGTAATGAGTATGGCCATCAAGCTAAACAAATTGCCACATTGGCCAAATTCCTCTGTCACCACCTCCACCACCCCCAAATCTCAATGTGTATTCTTACTCCATCACTTCTCTCTTATGAGGTGGGTAGCACATTTTGGCATTAATCTTCTGGAATCATAGTTGGTCATTTTGTTGCTCAGAGTTCTTAAATCTTTCAAAGTTTTTTTAAAAAATAATGTTATTACATAAATTGTTCTGGTTCCTACCACTTCACTCTGTATCAGTTAATATAAGTCTTCCTAGGTTTCTCTGAAACTATCCCTTTCATAATTTCCTACAGTGTTCTATCACATTCATATAGCATAAATTTGTTCAAGACATTCCCCTTCAGTTTCTGTTTCTTGGCCACAAAATAAAAGAGCTACATATGTGGGTTCTTTTCCTCTTTGTTTGATCTCTTTTGGGTAGAGACCTAGTTGTAGTATTGCTGAATAAAAGGGCAATGCACAGTTTAAAAACTCTGGGGGCATAGTTCCCATTTGCTTTCCAGAATGTCTAAACCAGTTCACAGCTCCACCAGAAGTAGTGCATTTATGTACCTGTTCTCCGTCAGATAGGTGCCACGGTTGTTTTTTTTTTTTTTTGTTAACTTTGACAATCTAATGGATATGAGGTAGCACCTCGGAGTTGTTTTAATTTGCATTTCTCTAATTATTAAAGACTTGAAGCATTTTTTAATGTGGCTTTGGGTAGTTTGGATTTCTTCCTTATAAAACTACCTGTTTGTATCTTTTGACCATTTATCAAATGGGGAATGGCACTTCTTATTATAAATTTAAATACATTCCCAATGTATTTTAGAAATGAGACCATTGTCAAAGAAATTACAAACATTTTATCCCATTTGCCTGCTTTTCTTATTTTTTGCTACATTGGTTTTGTTTGCACAAAAAATTTTAAATTTATGTTATCCTCTTTTTCCCATATTTGTTCATGAACTCTTCCTCCATCCATGGATCTGACAGGGAATTTCTTCCTTGCTCCTCCAGTTTGTTTATGAAATCATCTTTTATTTCTAAGTTATGTAGCTCATCTTGGTATACGATATGAGATGATGGTCCCTATCAGTCAATCATATTATGAGTACCTTGAGGGTAGAAACTGTCTTTTATATGTCATTGTTTTCTCAGAGTTTAGCAAGGAATAAAAAAAAGTGGTGCCATAAAGCACATCTCATTCATCCGTTCCCCAATTTGAGAATCTACTCAATTTCCAATTCTTTGCCACCACAAAAAGAGCTGCTATAAATATTTTTGTACAAATAGGTCTGTTTCCTTTTTCTTTGATCTTTTTGGGATACAAATCTAGTAGTCATATTGCTGGGTCACAGTTGTATAGCCTTTTGGGCATAGTTCCAAATTGTTTTCCAGAATGGTTGGACTATTTCACTACTCCACCAGAAGTGCATTAGTGTACCAATTTTTTTAATATCCCCTCCAACATTTATCATTTTCCTTTTCTGTCTTGTTAGCCATTCTAGCATTTCTCTCATCATTGTTGATTTAGAGCATTTTTTTATGTGACTATAGAAAGTTTTGATATCTTAATATGAAAACTGCCTGTTTGTATCCTTTGGCCATTAGTCAATTGGGGAATGGCTCCTATTTTTGAAACTTAGACTCAGTTCCTGTTAGCTTTACCATGAATTCCACAAAGCCATTGTTTGAACCATTATTTTTTATTTTTTTATTTTTATTTTTATTTTTTCTTTTTAGGCAATTGGGGTTAAGTGACTTGCCCAGGGTCACACAGATAATAAGTGTTAAGTGTCTGGTCTGAGGCCGGATTTGAACTCATGTCCTCCTGACTTCAGGCCGGTGCTCTATCCACTGCACCACCTAGCTGCCCCTCAGGAAGAAACTTTATTAAGGGCCTGGCAAGGCCAGGTGTCCCACATGTGGGGCACATGTATCTGACAGATAATGCACCTTTTTATTCCCTATTCCTGACTTGAATTTCTCTGCTTTGTTTCCCTATTGGCTGGGTACTATAGAGGTTACAGCCTATCTGAAGTGCCAAATTTCCCCATGTGAGTCTCCGCCCATAATCTCCCACTCCCCACAATTTGGGGCCCTAGGCTCTTATTTGGGACTATTCCTTTTGATGTTAATCTGTACTTAACCTCAGAACCAGTTTTCATCCAGTTAGTCTATTCACCTACCAATAGTGTTTTGTTTTTTTTTGGTTGGGCAGTGGGGGTTAAGTGACTTACCCAGGGTCACATAGAAAGTGTTATGTGTCTGAGGTCGGATTTGAACTCAGGTCCTCCTGAATCCAGGGCCAGTGCTCTATGCACTGCGCCACCTAGCTGCCCCCTTCAGTAGTGTTTTCTTATACTAATTTATAGCTTCCTTTGTTCAGCTTCCACCTAACTCTTAGATTGATTTATTTTTTCTGTTTTTTTTTTTGTGAGAACAAAAAATAGCTATTTCTCACAGACCTCAATCCCAGTTTAAACTGACTCAATGTTCTCGAGTGTGCTGTCTCATAGGCATCCACATCTTGATGAATGATATGCAGAAGCAACATCCCCAACCACATTTTCCACAGTTCCCTATATATTAAGATATGAGAGGAAGATCTGGGAAGATGATGGAGTAGGTCAGAAAATTCTGGGCTTCCCAAATTTCCCTTATGAAAAACACAGAACATCACCTCAAAGTGAATATAGAGTGGCAGAAATAATTATAAGTTTAGGTAAAATAGTGGTCCTTCCAAGACAACTTGAGAGGACCTCAGGAAAGATCTGGCATTCAGGGCCAGAGGTTCTCCCCTAGTGAAGATTAAACACCTTCAGGTAGACTCTACAAAAACAACAAATAAGCCCTACGGGCAGCTGGATTGGAGCTCAGGAACTTGTACCTCATGGACAGTGTGGAAATTAAACAGCTGAGTAGGGGAAGATTGAAACATCATTTGTTGTTGCAGGATGCTAGCCTCAGCTGTGCTGACCAGACACTATACCGGACTGCAGCTATGGGTGAGGAGTGAGCAAAAACCCTAATTGTGGTAATATAGGGGCAGGGACCCTGCTGGCTGTGGGCATTTGCAGGAGAGCAGAGTCCCTGGTTTCAGCTCCAGGGAAAGGGGGGAGCTGAAGTTTGCAATCCCAGAGGGACTATAGGGAGCAAGAGCATTTGTGGGAGAGTGATGGGGAGGCCCTACCCATCACTTCAGGGTGGAGAGGAGTGCCCAAGTCTGGGCCCCAGGACAGAGTTCAGAAAATAACAGTAATAAAGAACTGAGGCCTGGGGCACCATTCTCCACAGCCTGAGATTACAAAGCTGATTACAATAATAAGCTACTAAAAATAGAATAAAACAAAATAAAAATAAAAATGAGTAAGCAAAGGAGAAGGAACCTGACCATAAATAGCTACTAAGTGGATAAAGAAAATGTAGGTTTATATTCAGAGGAAGATAGTGAAGTTAAAAAAGCCACTCTTAATTCAGAGAGAAATGTCAAATGGTCACAAGCCCAAAAAGAGTTCTTGGAAGAACTTAAAAAGGACTTCAAAAATCAAATAAGAAAGATAGAGAAAAAAATTAG